ACCTTGCAATTCCGCGACTGATGAATATCGATGTACAACTTTCATAAAAAAGGTAAAATAATTCTCCGATAATTATCGATCTAAAACTTCGATAGTTAGGCAATCGGAGGATTTAAGGTTGGAACCATATCTAACAGACACGGATATTGTCAAATAATTGTCGAAGTATTAGAATGATACAATGGGCAACATTTTTTGATAATTCTCTGATAATTATCCGATAACATTATACAAGATCCCGCCTTCATGGACTTTCGAGCATCATGGCCGGACTACACTACAGTTGGATTTCCAGTATTAACCCACAGGACATTCTGGTTATATCAAGGTAGTAAAAGGTCACGCACGGCTAGTCAGATTAAGTTTGACACAAGTATACTGTGTGTCGGAACATAAGGGTGTCGGAACATAGAGATGTCAGAACATAGGGCAGTCCCCCTTCTCAGACACCCCCTGTTCGCGCAAGCGCGGACATTGGCCGCTTACGCGGACACAAAAGTGTCCCCCTCATATTTCAGAATGGATCGACGCCCCTGGTGTGGAGAACCCCGAAGAGAGATCCCCCCCCCCCCTGATAGCATGATCAGCTCTATTTTATTCTCATTTTACATTAATGAGCTACAAAGCATGTTAGATGACTTTGGGTATAGAGGAATACAATTGATCCCGAACGACATGTTAGAGTTGTTTTCATTATTGTATGCTGACGACATTGCTTTATTTTCAAATTCTGTTTTGGGCTTGAAAAGACTAATAAGTATATTGTATGAGTTTACAAACAAGTGGGATCTAAATATCAACTTAAATATAACTAAAATTGTAGTATACAGAAATGGGGGATATCTCAGTACATGTAAATATGAAAAGTGGTACTTCGAGAATAAGCAACTTAGTACTGTTAGTTCATATGAATACTTGGGGTTGGTAATGTCATGTAAATGCTCTTTTAATATTACCACAGAAAAATTAGCTATAAAAAGCAAAAAGAAATTGAATGCAATCAAAAGATACTTAGGAAATATGCAATGTTTTAAAGCAGACTTGTATTTTAAGATTTTTGACGGACACCTTAATTCAACCTGTACTTATATATGGGTCTGAAATTTGGGGATATGGTCAATATCAACATTTAGAAAGTGTACATACGTCTTATTGTAGGCAATACCTCGGTGTAGGTAAAAATGCTCCAACTTGTACAGTATTAGGGGATTGCGGGAGGCTACCCCTATTTTGTTACCATGTTAAAAAATGTGTGAAATATTGGTTAAAAATTACTAGCATGGATGAAAACAGATTACCCCAAAAAGCTTACCGGATGTTACTTTCACTGGGCGAAAAAGGACAAAGGTGGGCCACAGAAATGAATAAATTGCTATTTAAATATAGATTTGGTTATGTCTGGTTTAATCAAGGGGTGGGGGACTCTGACATGTTCTTGTACAAATTTTGTGAACGGGTCAAAGATACTGGAATTGCAGATTGGTATATAGACGTTTGTTCTGTCGAAAAAACGCAGTATTATAGGCAATACAAAACAAATTTTGGGATTGAAAACTATGTGTCATTGCCACAATTAAAATTGCGCAGAGCAATAGCAAGATTAAGATGTACGTGCCATCCCTTAGAAATAGAAAGAGGCAGACATAATAATATCCCTAGGGAGAGCCGTATTTGTCATTTGTGCCTGCAAGAAATTGATGATGAATATCATTTTTTACTAAAATGCACTGCATGGGACACAATCAGGAAAAAGTATCTCCCAAATGAGACACAACCCCCAAATTTGAATACTCTAGTACGACTATTAAGTTCCTCTAAAAGCCAAATCATTAACTCGTTAGCTCTATTTATTTAGTGTTTTTTAATCAAAGATCAAATGAGAATAACCTAATAAGCTTGTATGTATATAAATATCCCCATCACATTATTATATAGTGCTTATATTATCTATTGACACCTCTTCATCTATATTTTCATACATATTTTTGTAAGGTAAATTTATTTCTTGTCAATAATTAATTTGTATGATTGTAATGGGCCAGAGGCCATTATACAATTATTATTATAAAGCGTTTCCCTCATTAAAAGTCCTAATTTGTACGCAATTTCCTACTTTGATTCTTAAACACAAATTATCAAATATATTATAAAAATATGAAATGTAACGAAGAATTTGCTTTATCCGTAAAGTGTAAAAAAAATTTTTTTTTACTGTATATGGAACTTTCATTTTATTTCCTGTAAAAACGTAAAATGCCTTTTTTATTTCCTGTACCAGCTCAAACGTAACCTCAAATTGTGAAACAACACTGACCAACACAAAGCATACACTTTTAACAGAAATCATATACTCTTTTATTTTAGGAATGATATTTATGAAATAAAATGACACCACGCTTTATCATATTCATAGTTACATAAATGAGATGATTGTAAATAGTTTGTAATCTCAAAATCAAACATTTTGATTTAAAGCGGGGAGTTGTCACCTGCGCATGCATCAGGTGGCCATAGCATGTCAACTTCCAAACAATCGTCCATCCATGAGCCTTTGCGTTCTTAGCATGTGTTGTTATCATCGCTTGGGAATCAATTCACGCGCGTGCGCAAGTGACAATCTTCTCGCTTTAATAATCTCAGGTATTCGAACACAGCATTTCTAATAATACTGTACTCGTTGTTTGTTGTTGTTTTTTTATCAGGAATATGCTGGTAAAATCAAGAATACCAGTCCTACCCTTTCCAGGCAGCCAAAAAGGCGAAGATGGATATTCTCTTCTAAACAATTAAAAAACAATGACCGCCCTCAATTAATACTTATTTCAATCACGAATGATGAAATTATATTGTAGGCTCCTTCCCAGACCTCTCACCTCAAAAAGGGTCCCACTAGAGACATTTAACTCAAATAAAAGGAACCATTTCTCGGTGAATATGTATAAAAAGTTTCTCGATGGAAGTATCCCCCTGAATGGGTTCAATACGCATCTATAACAAACGCATTTGTTGAGTCACTTCGCTATTAAGGTGGAATTCTACTCAAAAATGAAAATACCCAGAATTTATTCATTTTGCAATAAATTGTACTTCTGGGTAATATAAATTAATTGACGTAAAAAGGCTTAAGTCAACCAGTCTAATTTTCGAAAAAATAATGGTTGTTTTTTAGTGGATAGTGGCCATTTAGTTAGTATTATAAAGCTCTTACCAAAGGTTCCTATGGCAGAAATATTATGCCATATCACAAATGGTCTATGAAATTGTTCTAAAAATAGCGATTAAAAAAAAATATTAGAACAAAATGATTGTATTACACAACAAATACTATTTCATGATGTAATGGGACAATAGTTTCATAATATTACATAATAAACCAATGAACATTGACCAAAAATTATGAGTAGGCTTCTACCTTCTGACCTTGTAATTTATGCAAGTTTTAATTTTTCTGTGCAACTTATTATAAGTCTAGAAAATAAAAAAAACTTCCATATCAATTTTTGCATGAAAAATCTCCACTAGTGTATTCAATAAAAACAAAGTTACTGTAGTTCTTCTTCTTTATATTATACTATTCTCTTGATGAAATCGTCCAATGTGATAATGACAATGTTTTCAACTAAAAAGAGCATAAATCAAAAGTCGAAAATTTGCCCGAATCTCGGGGTAAGAATCATCTTATCCCCTTTACGAATATTGCTCATCTTGAATAAATTAATTGTAGATAACAAATTCAAAACGTTCAATAATCAGGGATAATATATCTTTCCCACTCCGTCCAAAATGCACAACAACAAATATAAGAACAATTCACACTGGAGTCAACAAACCCATGTTATAAATTAGTTACGTATAAAATCAAACGGAAGTTACAAGATGTCAAGCTGTTCTATTTATGCAATAAGACTGATTTCATGAAAACAGTTGTGTGTATGAATATTTAAAAGTATATTTATAAAGTATAAACATGGGTCTGTTGACTGTGGTGTATAACATTATAGCAAATTGCTTTAAACAGTATTACACAACATGATACAAATCACCTCTTCTTTGGAAGTTTTCTCAGATACAAGTGGAATGTAGTTGTCTTGACAATGATGAATATATATTCTTTGCTGGGGGTCCTTTACACGACAAAATTGAGTTTAAAAACATTCTCATATTTCATATTTTTTTCCGTTTGCATATATGATGATATTAATTATATTATAATTCACTATAATGAATAATGTATTTTATTCAAAGTACCGTTTGCATCTTTCAATATTTACATTTTTATTACAACACTGCTGATGGGAACTTGATTCCAAAATACTGACAACATGAATTGCAGGTCTCTTTACTTAAAAACAAATGTGAAAACGATTGCATTGTGTAGCGGGGAAAAACGATTTCCAGGGAAAACTACTGTATTTTCACGATGAGAAGCATGTTAAAGGGTGGTAGTCGTCACGCCACGCATGCGCGAGATACATGGGTCTCTTGTAAACAAAGCTGACGACTTTGGCTGTTGCGCTGATCAAGTACAAACTTAGCCGTTACCAAGCTTTAATTAAGTGTTTTTTAGGTGATTGGAAGGTTTTGTAGGAGTCGCCGACAGTAATTAGTGCAAATCACGCCCAGGTCAAACCTCATACTTGTGCTTTCCATTAGAAGAGCGCATTGGATTGCGAGAAAAATCAATGTTTATCAACACAAATGTCGCACATGCGAAGCGCGATGACCACCGCTATTTAATCTAAGTGGAGGTCCTGTAAAATGCGTATACTTTGACCATAACTTAATGAAGAAATAAAAATGAAAAGAATCTCCAATCAAGTTTAGTCAAAACCAATGTAGGAAGATATGATCTTGAAAATTGACTATAGAAGATTGGCAGATGCAATTGTACTGAAACTCCTACCATCACCAGCATAACTATGCACTGTCTTGCAAAAGATGACAAAACGATGACGTCAAATATCCACAAACATCATGGCACACCATCCCAGCCCGCCAAGAAGTAGCATTACGACGTGGATGCAGTATATGAGTCCTTCGTTTAGTTTATGAAAGTTAAACCGATCCCTGTTGATCATTATCAATAGTACCGTCAGTTTATATTGGAAGCGTAGAAACACGTGTATTGACGAGTACTGGATCAAAAACAGCGCCCCCGATATTATAACTGAAAGAAACGTTCCCATGCTTGCGCAGAAGAGCAGGATGAAACGAAGGAGCCCGTAAAAAAGTATATTACTGCGATACATATCAAAACACGACTCTTCCCTCGACGTCCGTTTCAGTCGGAGCATATGAGAATCGGCACAATCCATACAAGTGTGATGTGGACCAGAGAACGTCCTGCTACGTCGTGGAATCGGTATTACTGTCATTGTGGCACCCGACGTACACTGGCTGCGATGAACCAACACTTATGGCGTATATTGATCGCAAGAAAAGTATGTCCTCATGTAGTGGTACTTCCGGGTTCAAAGTCTTGATGTATGGAATCGTACGGCAACGAAGTTGGAAAGATTTTAACCCGTCGGCATGTTAACGAACGTTAACGTGTTTAAGCATATAATTGTCATCAAATCAAGAGCAGGTTACAGGGTGGACAGAATAATAATCCGAGCCACTCTAAAATTCGCCTTTCCAAGTGACACTGACGAAATTGATGTCGTTATTGCACATCACCTTTTTACGATATCATCAAAAACGGTTACGAATAATCGCTAATCGCCGGTGAGTAAGTATACATATATATTAACGAAATCAGCGTGTGATATTTAAATCTTGTGTATAGCTCAGAACAAGCAATAAATCACTTTTATGAAGTGATACAATTAATACAGGCAATGTCGCAAAATGACAGGTTTTACGGCATGTTTTCAAAATGGAAGAGGGAGAACTCGGGTATCGCGAGTTGGCGGATCGTTTCGAACTTGCCACGGACCATGTCAGAACGCTGGCTCACAGGCTGAGTAATGATAAACTGCTTTACTTTTATGCAAGATTCAAACAGGTATAGTTGTATAAAATCGACACTCGTGGATCATAATTATTCAGTACAAAACCACCCGGGACCCGAGACTCACATAAACAGACGAGAATGCATTTGTTATTGAGATTGCTCTGGATGTTGCAAGGAAAAGAGTTCTTTTTGCACCCCACCCCACCCCAATCCTAACTCTAACCCCAAAGCTCTCCCCCAATTCGATTGTAAATGCCTCCTCTAGATAACTAGGTGTCCTTAAGAGAGGCAGATACAATTAACCGGTAAATTGGGGAGCGCTGGACGGAGGGATAGGGCACATTCCCTCAAGCGACTGTTGATAGGTTTAGTGTTAGGGGCCAGGTGGTGGTGCAAAAGCAACTCTTTCCATCTGGGGGGTTAAAATTTACTGTAACCGCAGCTTACTATAAAATAAGTCTCAGATGGATTAAAGCAAATTTCAAATGTTTCAAAACCAACAAGTTTAGTCTGAAAGTATTTTCTAAATTGCCTTAATTTCAAAGAGAAAGTCAACTTTGCACGCAATGGTTTTATTTACATCAGGGGTTTTTGTGTATGTGTGCAATGTCAGGAACGAGATGCTGAATTGTTCGAGTTACGGTCATTGAGTTACCACTGGATAACTAATAATAAAAATTTGAGTTACGAAATTTGAACATTGAACAAAACAAAAATTCTATGTTGCCCATAACTCTGAAGTTCTGTTGATTGTTAGTTGGACATAGAGTTACAATTTGGGCGTGTTTTTTTGTGAAAGTGAGCGTGGTTTATGAAATATGGGCGTTGTCATTTTTGTAACTTGATGTCTGTAAGTCAAACAATTCAGCATCTCAACTTGAACAGTGGTTTTAGTTTCTTTAGTGTGTATCTAGCCTAGCACCATGTGATAAGATACTAGGTAGGCTATAAATCAATTCCATGAAACAAGTATTTTTTGTAATTTCAACATTTTTTATGATTTCCAATTTTTTTTTGGCACATGGACAAATTTGTTATACTCAAACATACATGCACAATGCATTACCATGGTTTCAGTCATTCTTTGAACAATAATGTTTAGGCAAGTGTTGCTACACCACAGTAAGTTATTATCAACATTGCTAGTAAATGTACAGAATTTGCCTTGAATGTTATTGAAGTTGTTTTGCTACATTCACGACACACCCAGATTTCAAGTCATTATTGACATTGGATTGGCCAGCCAAATTATTTTCACATGTCATTTGTCACTAATATTTCTCCTAAAATTTAGAAACTGTATGTGGTGATACATTTTTATGTGATGTTATGTTTTAACTATTCTGTTGTTTTTTTTTTGTCCAAGGCAAAAGAAGGTGTTTGTAATACTTCCAGACCAGGTTTCTTTGACTTTGAAGGCAAACAGAAGTGGTAAGTAAATCATACTATAGTAAGCACATATTAGGCCATACAATAGGTGTTTTAAAACACATTACACGTTCAAGCTAGGAACATGCATAGATCGTCTGCCTTCTTCTTCTCGATGTCTGCTAGCGGTGTTCCGATTTCTTCACAAAACGATGTAAAGACGCTTCTAGAAAACCTGATTGCATCCTTCGTCTTCGGTGCATCTTTATTTTCTACGAGTGTGTCAAGTTTTTCTTCTGAACTGAAGCTAAATTTCCAGTCTTTAGAGGCGGACCATCGATATCAGTGACCAAACTTGCAGATGACGTATTGGAAATCACACGATCAGGTGACGAGTGACGTCATCCCCGGGCACTAGTCTCCCTAGGGAACTAGTAATTTCCCTGGTGCTACTATGGTAATTTAGCAGATAACATGTGATCCTGTTTTGATCAATTACAGTACAGTATTAACGAGTGATGTGTTATATAATAAAGAAAATGCCTAGATGTGTAATTAAGGTCAATGACCTTGTCATTGCGTCATTCAGGTGTATAAACTGACAGGCCGCTTGATGTGTGCACAAGTTTTGATTGAACTGAATTCAAACATTCATCACTTTAGCGCTAAAACTCAGGTGCAGCAATCTTTCTTTCTTCCTTCTCACTCTCACTGCATTACTTCCAAGTTCACTGTAGCTTTTCTGTGAAAAGCAAAACTTAGTTCCTGAACAAATTATAAATTCACGAACATAATCATATAATTATCTCGTTACCATGGTTTTTGTGTAGAAATTATACTCTAGATGGGATTTTTTTATATATTTATATATGTGGTTAACGTAAAAATGAAATATAAAAAACAAAACAAAAAAACTCACCAACATAATTTTTGCCACAACACAAAAGTCATAAATACTCTATTCTCAGGCGATGGACATCCAGGTATTTTCACCACCTGGCAACTGTCATGGTAAAAACAAAGTCCGAAAACTCAGAAAACGGTACTTTGGAATAGTTGCTGAGACTCCCTTGAACAGGGTAAAAAGATTACCTCTACATGTTTAAATTTAGTTGTTCAGGATTGTCTCATAGCTGAGTTTGTGCTATTTTCTCAACTTTATCTGTTTTCACCAGCTGTTTGACCGGCGTTCCGCAGCAGCTCACGCAGAGCCCATAGAAATACATGGTACAGTGGTGCGTCTTAGCAACGTAGAACGTTCTGTGATGTAGCTCTGCCCCCGAGAATATTTTGTATCTTGTTTAGAAACTGAGCGATTTTAATCGCATTGCTTAGTGACGTATATCATTCGTAAACTACGCTTTTCTTGTAGGGATTGCTGGAAGAAGCTTGGTACAATGAGTGAAATGCAAGCAATGAAAGAGTATATTAATGAACTACTACGAGTTGATCCATCCTGGCATGCAGATGCTGAGACAACCAAGACCACGACTGGAATGGGTGTTGCTGTCAGTACTTTGTACAAAGAAGAAGTACAAATAAGGTGAGGTCAGCTGGGAATATGATGGTATTGCTAACAGGGGGTTCAGAAAACCATACAATTTTCAACGACTTGGTACTACCCCCGATAGTAAATGTTTAATAGTGTTAACATGGGGGTTATCGGTAGATAAGCTTTAATTAAATTGAAAAGGCAGTTGTCTTGTTCAGTGGTAAATAGGTCTTAAAATTCATTCCACATTGATTAAATATTCATGGATGTAAAATGATTATGAAAATACTGATTATAAAATACTCAATACTCATAAAAATAATAGTCTCGTTTTTAGTCTGCACTTTCCTTCATTGAGACAAATAGCCACATTTTTTGAATAATAACTGAAAATTTACTGAAATTTTGTCTGTTGGCTTCAAAATTAGGGTTCATTTCCAGTCATATTGAAGAATATGAGAAAAAATTGCAGAACAAATTTGGCAAGAAAGTTTGGTGGTGAATAGGATGAATCGTATAAAGAAATATGTTTTTTTTTTTAATTTATATTTATATTTCTCAATTATTTCATGTCTTGCTCAATATGATGTATTTAACTTGTGTAAAATACTTACTCCATTGGGTAGTGCTGAATAGGGAGCGGCATTTGTTATCAGACATTTGCATGCTGGTTGGCAAAAATGTAAACAAATGATTCCTCAGTGTGACAGCCTTTAAAGCGAGAGGGTCGTCACCTGGCACGCACAGGAATTGAGTCCCAAGCGACGATAACAACACACGCTAAAATGCAAAGGCTCATGGGTAGACGTTTGTTTTTAAACAACAACACGCTATGGCCATCTGACGCATGCGTAGGTGACGACTTCGCCGCTTTAAAAGGGACTGTGATTGAAACAAGTCTGGTTAACACTTCTTACATGCCAGTAACCTTTGACCTTATTTTCTCCTATCTTAATTAGTCATCAGTTGTCAGAATTTTCGTATACAGTCATTTATGAAGACTGTTGGCAATCATCCTTCAGTAAGTGATAGCCAATGGTTGATCAGCTTACTTATTTCATTGAAATTACAGGGATGATCAAAAGACTATTTTTGATTGGCTGAAGGAGGACAACATATCAAAGGTACAGTCACTGATGCAGAACTGTAATGAGGACGTAACGAATCAGGTCGATGATCAGGTGAGCTTTCACATGTATTTATTTTGAGGCTTTGTCGAAAACCACATTGGACCATACACAGTTCACATTTTATTTCTATGTTAGCGTTGAAACAATTCCCGGTTTCGGCATGTTTATCGTTTATGCACTTTCGCATAGTGTGTCAGTCAAGGTCAACAAACCGGAAGATAGAACATATTTTGAATATTCCATGCACACATGAGTCGCAGTACACCGCTCGTCCCAGCATGAAAAATTACTTCAAATAAAAGTGCCATCATATTTCGACTAGCTTGTATCAGCCTCTGAAAATGTGTACACCATTCTGCCTATAAAGCAAGAAAAAACGAACATGCAAATTATCTTTGCCTATAGTGAAAAACTGTCATGATCATATTTACCCATTGAAACACACACATACCATCTCTTTTTCAGTTTATTTTCTCAACTGGTAATCCACGTTTTTCAGCTATCTTATATCGTTCTCCTCGCTGTTTCCATTTGCAACCACTCGCACTCACTTCGTGATTTTTTAATAATTGTTTCAAATATGCTACTGTATTCTTTCAGGGTTGTCCATTTGATCTTTTATATTTTTGTTCTACCCTTGCCCATTGCTGGGTAGGTTATGCATGTGCAAACAAAATTACATCGTGTCTGTCAGTAATTCGAGAATCAGGAATTATGCAGCATATTGGATTTGTCGATTCTACATGTATTCATGTATTTTGTTTAAAATACCATCTTGCAACTTTGTAACATATTGGTTTGTTTGTTGGACCATGCATGTCTATACCGCAAAGAATAATGCGTCTGTTTGTTGGTGAAGCCATACTTGTCTAAACTCCACAGACCAGTTTGTGATTACTCTGATGACTGACATGTCTGTCTTTCAGGGATTAACGTTATTACACTGGGCATGTGATCGAGGGTTAGAGAAAATGGTTAATTTACTTTTAAAATATAATGCAAATATTAATGCTAAAGACGAAGACGGACAGACTCCCTTGCACTATGGTATGTATGGATAGTTTTCGTAATTGATATGTTGGATTTTATAAAAGTGGCAATTCAATCAAAACCTGTTTGCTATTGAAAAAAAAAAAACATTTTTTTTTTTTTTTTCAGCGGTTACCTGTGAATTTGTTCCTGTTATTAAGCTGCTTCTAGACCATGGAGCTGATGTCTCTATCGAGGACAATGACGGCTGTCTACCATCAGCGAATACGTACAACAAAGATATTATATCACTCTTGGGTTGTCCCTGATTTATGTATGAAATACTGTATTACCTCTATTAGAATTGCATGTGATAAAACAAGCTTTTTTGGGTACCACTGAATCCTGGGTATTAGAAATCTGTGCCTCGTGTATCAGCATTTAAAAGTTAATTAGATTATTATTAACTATTATATGTTGACAATTCTAATAGAGGAAATATGGTTGGTTTGTTATTTTTGTGCTAGGTGACATTGAATGTCACTGACTGTTTTGATAACAAAATTTCAAAGTACATTTTCCATCAGAAACAGTGTTTCCTGTTTGGGACTATGTGACAGGACAGTTTAATACATTTTCCCTGTTTCAACCAGATCAAACCCTATCATTGGGTCATATAAGCATTAAAATCAATTACCATTGGTTAGGAAAAAAGCACCCAGCAGTAGGTTATTTCAACTTTCATGCAAACAAATAATTACATTACAATTTTGAAACTATTTTGTAATAGATTGTAATAAAAAAAGTTAAAAATAGATCCGTTTCAATGAAATTGACATTGAAGAGTGTACATACAATTCCGTCCATCTGTTGATTCGATTGTCTGTCTGTGTACTGGATCAATTTGATGCGTGCGCCTGGCTTCTGACAAAGAGGTTTCACTTATGATTTTAAAAGAAATCAAATGAATAAAAGACTGAAACCGCATTTCCTCAAATAACTAAATGTGGTGTCCAGGCTAGACCAAGTATAAAAACTTTTAAATAAAACTAATATATCCATCATCCAATGCTTGAAGTAGGATTTTTACTTGCATACGAGACTTGTACACTTGACTCAAACGTCTTTTTGGAGTGAAAGGGTGGCGGGATGGCTTCTAAAGTGGGTATGGAGAATATTGATATTGGAAGAGTTCCGTGGTCTAAAGTTTACGGTGTACTGAGATGTGGATTTATAGTTTGTGTGCAAGGTAATGAGTTAACCGTGAGTATTGATTGGCATTTGTATGTAATACTAAATAACCATCTCTAAATAACACATGCCAGTTTCCCACTGGTGAACCATCATGTTTTATTTTTATTTTCACTGTAAATTATTCTATTTTTAACACTCTGTATATGTTTATGTATTGTTATTGTTTATCACATGTAAATACATGTAATATATATCAAAGGAATTCTAAACATGTTTCATTTTGTTCGTTATTCGTCTACCATCTGTTAAATCAGATTCTGAAAACTATTTAAGAAGTGCATTGGTTCTGAACTTTGTTATCCACTGGTCCATAATATGGTGAACTAGTCTAAACATAATTAATTAAGATGGGAAATTTGAAATTTTACATACTTTTTGGGAAAGTGAATGATTATAAAATGATTGATAGTTATACTAACTTCACAGTTTGTGCTGTTAAGCGGCGTGGTTTTTTAGTTCCAGTTTGGACAAAGTTGAAAAACAGGGACTTATTGACCTTTGATCTCAACATACTTGGACAATTCAAGTTCAAATTTCACATCAGACATATGCACATGTATTTGTTTCATGAGCCGATTCAAGATGGTTGAATGGCAGCCATTTTAAGGCTAAAAATACATCAAAATCACAGATGTTCACCATTTCAAATTAGGATCTTAGTCATACATGGACAAATTTTATTCAAACATAGTATATACATTCAAATTTGGTTTAAAATTGCTAAATGATGGCCATTTTAAAAAAAATATTGCATCTTGTCGTGTCTGGGCGGTTCAAACTCAACAAACTGTAAATAAAACACGTTTAAATAGCTACATGCCATTTTAGCGAATTTGACTCCATGTATGAATTAACTGAATCGTAATTTAGCTAAAGTGCCAACAATCTTATTGTGAGAATATTCTTTATTTTAAATTAGTGATATCTTGAATTAGCGAAATTACAGATTAGCTAAAATAACATGCCAGCTAATAAGACTCGTTTTACAGTACATCAGACATGGGACAAACGCGCATGCATTTTTGTCACTATCAAATCCAAAATGGAACACTGGCTGCCATCTTGATTAAACGCTTGCATTTCCGTCTTACAAATTTCCTTTGACAGGGACTATGTCATTGACAATGATTTGTTTCTCTATGTATTTGTACCAATGTATGATTTTTAGCATTGTCAATTTTCAGAATTACAGATCATTTGCATAAAATCCTTACTTTGCTATAGCTATCCATACAGAGAGGAATGGTGCATGGTTTTCGTTTTCACTCATTGAGTTGATATCTCCAGTGCTTTTGTTCAGTATTTCTGTCCATGTATATTTCTACTGGTTCTGTATTTGTAACAGATCATGTTGGTGTTTGCCTCGACATATCCAAAAAGCACAGAAAACCCTCTGTACAATGTATGTTCAAGCAATGACCACTGAGAGGCTGATCAGTATAATAAACGTAAGTTTTCCCAAAAAACTATTACATGTAGGTCTGTGCATTATTCCATAGCATATATGTAACAACTTTCATTGAAATGCAATTATTGGTTCTTGAGATACTGGTGGAACAGATGCCACATACATATGCACACACAGACCGAGGTAAACATTTTAAGAGTTAATACTGATCAGACAATTTTTTTTTTCAGTTGTCCCGTCATAGGGCTAGCCTGCATTTCAGATCATGCACACTATATTTCAGTCATCCATTTCTATCGCCTCTACTGTGTCAATTTTAATTTTATGCAATTTTCAACACTTTATCAGTGGGGTCAGATATTTGAAATTAAAATCTGGCAATAATTATGTTATCGAGGACAGGAAATTTGTTTCATAAAGAATCACTTTAGAGAATTAAGGTTTATTATTTCAAATCACAAAAGCAGTTACTAAAAAAAACGTTATTAATGGATTATACAGTTTCTCAACTCATCAGAAATGCTAAATCTCCCCCATGGGAGGAGAAATGAACACAACTCTGTTTATTAATGATAAAAAAACCAAATTTTTTTTAATGTTTAAAAGTATGTACAACGAATGTAAATATCAACCAGATGAGATGTAAATGAACAGTTCCCTGCAACGTAATGTTGGATGAGAAAATGAATACAATCACCACTTGGTGGCAGTATCCATATTATAACAGTTAGTTGTAGCTGGGAAATTGCTTCTGATTGTAGGTACAGTACTTCATATGCAAATTTAGTCATCGTACTGGACCAATCAGCTTGGCGCTTACTGGTGTTGACAAATAATTGTAATAACAGCTGCAACATGTACTATCCTGGAGAAAGTTTCAATCTGGAACAAAACCTGGGTAGCATTAGCCTGGAATCCAGCCATTCTAGGTACACTTAAGAATGGCCTGGTGAATTGCTATGTAACTACGCAGTCGGCACAGAATTGTGTGTCAACACTGATTGGTTGTCTCCAGTACTTCAGTACATTACCAAGTGAATGCGCATGCGCAGACAGACTTGTACGTAAGTGTCCACGCAGCCCTCAGGACCGATTTACTATGTTAGGTCTATTATGTAGTAGATTTGTCAAAGTCTTACGACCATGGACTAGCATCTAGTCTTGATTAACATTCAAATTTTCAAACAATGTTCACCGTTTCTCAAGTTTGGGCAAGAAGTAGAGATCTTTTGTCAGCATAGACACAACACATGGCATCTGTTTCTTCTTATCGGTCCATGCTTGGTCAGTTCTGGATTCAAACTCGTAAGCCACTGTCTTCATCACCCGTGTCATTATCCGTAATAGGTCCATGGTATCACCATAGCGATTGAGAACCTGACAGAGTGCTTGTACAAACCATGATCCATTTGTTGGGTTTCTGAATGAGTAGTAACCTGTTTGGATGAATGAGAAAATCAATAATGTCTTAGTATTTGGTACTACTAATATATTTTATACTGAAGAAATTATATTTGAACTTTAAAATAAAAAAGGAGTGTACAGCGTGGGTGTATCTCGTTCCCAACAAAATATCAAAGGTCTAACAATGTTAATGTTATAAGCTAAAAGTGTCATTCAACTCACAAATTTGTCTCATTTCTTTCAAAAGTCTTATCAGCAAAAAATTAATTTTCAGCTAATATAAATTATTTTACAGTATATTCCTGAAATGACATCGCAAACTCCAGGAAGTGGCTTGTAGGTACATCCTGTTGGATATTGGACTCGAGGCGACGTACACAACGCGTGTAAAATATATTGTTTGTTTACATGAAATTCGAACACGCGTTGCGCGACGACCACCGCCCTCGAAATTAACATTATATCGCAGCAAACCGATAAAAGACAGAACGGTGCATAGATACTAACCTGGTGGTGTCGAATAGCACATGAGAAAATCCGCAGCCACGGGGATCCGCTGTGGGTACCCTCCATCTGTTTCATCTGTGTCTCCAACACCATCTGTAAGATCTTTACCACTATCGAGTTTAAAACCCCGACACGCCTGTTAAGACAACACATATATATTGTATATACATTTATTTAAGCCTGTGTCAAGACCTTTCAATTCGTAGATACGTTTGTTTTGTGTGTTTTTTTCTGGGGCCAATGTAAAAACAAACAAACAAATCTTGCTTTAAATCATAACACGAACTCACTACCGTGACTGCATTTAATATATATATAGACCGTTCTATTTCATATTTTGTCGCAGTGCATGCCCTCTTGTTTTGAGACACTCACTATTGTAATTACTTCAAGGTCTACAAGCTGACTATCGCAAATGCATGCGTGTGAACTTAAAACGACAGAAAAGTTCGCCACATATAACTACGACATATAAAAACCATAGCATCATCAAATAAATAAAAAATAAAATAAAAACAAGTTTACCTGAATAAAAAACAGTTTCGGTTTGCCTACAAGAGTCGGACAATTGTCCCCATCTAAATATTCAGCTAACTTCTCCACGGCAATGATTCCGTCTGTTCCGTACACGCCTCTGTTATCACCGTGGCTTAGTATAGCTACAGCTACGCAGTCACAGTCACTGTGGTCGTCGCGTGATACTACAAAAACAAAACAAAATGGAGATTTTTCAGAGACAGATATTGATAAAAAATGTCACCCTGGCAACCGTAGATTCATTGACGTTGACCAAATTGGTCTGAAAATGCAATGAAAAACTCGGATTAACAATTGTACCTAATTCTAATGATTTGTTTCGTGGTAAAGTAACTCGGATTGTGTATATGAACAAAACCTCAATATTTCTGCGGAAATAGTTTGCTTCGAAACACGTGTGTGATACTAGTATAATACATGGCCAGGAGTTTGAGTAGCCTGACGAGTCGCGTGAGTAGCGCCCTCCGCGGTGCTCCAAACCCAACACTGAGGTCTGATGCTGTTCGGCCGGCAAGGACCTACTCACGTCAACATGTAAGGCTAGAGATTGAGTAAACATCGGCAAAACATGTCATGTGATTTGTGGTTAAAGTTGACGCAGGCATTTGACCTCTTAAATTGAAACTTGTTTCAAAAGTGTTATGTAATTGCTATTTTAGACACAAGTCATCATTTTTTAAAACCAATTTCGAACTATTTTGCAAAATTGTTTCAAAGGGATTCGTGTATGTATTTTTTCAGAATGTGTGACATATGACAACAATATGACAGAACCGTTTCCCCAAATATAAATGGCCCAAAATTAAATTGTTATAGCTTTTGGCATATTTTGTGTGTGTGCAGAAAGTAGTTAACAACATGAAATAGAAGCATGTGGTATAAGGCAATTACATCTGGCGATATAATTTAATGGTAGGAAATTAAAACCAAAGCGAAACTAACTGGTTCTGACTAGTACGTCTTGTATGTATACATACACTATTATCGGACAGAGTTACGTGACAAAACGTTCTACGTTGCTAAGACCTACACTATGTACCATGAATTTCCACAGGGCATTCGAGAGCTGTTGTGGAACGCCGGTCAAAGAGCCGGTTATTACAGCTAAAGTCGGGAAGATGGCACAAACTCAACTTTGAAATAATCCGTGTTTTCATCGCGATTATTTTCAGGCGGTAAAAATGCCCGGATGTCCGCCCCGAGAATACTTACCAAGTCTTAGCACAGTTGTCATTCTTTTGATGCTCAAATCATCGTACTTAGTCACAGAGAAACCAAGTCTTTCCAAAGCGTTTACCAACTGTCTGGCATCGACGTCACTCCCCGTCCTTGCGTCTAAGCCTGTACAATGCTCAAAGTTCACATTGTTGATGATGATTGCACGACCCCTTTTACAATGCGACATGTTGTACTCGTATTCATTGTCGGCTGGTTTGTGTTGTATGATGGCGGGACTTGACGGGCTGTCTTTACTGCACCTGTGTTAAAGTATCATTATATATAGTTAAATTGCGATTCAGTGACTCTATCTCTGAAAGTATTTAAATATCAATATCTAGAAATTAAATTAGAACGAAGAAGGAAGCCAAAACTGGAAGAAAAAGATAGAATATGTAGAAAATTTAATGATAAAAAAGTGGAAAATGAAATCCATGTTATTTTAGACTGTGAGTGCTATAAAAAAGAACAAAAATGCTGTTTATAGAATGTAACATAATAAATAAACAGGATAGAATAAACAATTTTATAAACATAACGCAACAACAGTTTTCCACTAGTTAAATACCTAAAACAAACAATATACAAAAAATAACTTTTTTGTTTTTTGTATTTTTTTCTTTATAGTATTATTATGGTAATTTCCTCTTTATTGTTGTATTTTTCTTACCATACATTACCCACAGATGGTAATTGTTGAGTAATAAAGTTATTATTTATTATTATTATTATAATATCCATGGTTATCGAAAATCAAATCAAGAATAAAATACAATATAATTCAAGATCTACCCGGTTACAATATCGAGTAATGGGACACATTGTTATTTTTGCATATGTTTTATACATATCTGAGATGTAACCTTGACTCAAATTCTTACTTATTACAAGCCGATACATTTTGAATGAACTGGCGCTTCTTCGAGACAAGCTCGGGTCAAGGGATTAGTCTGGGTTTCTGGTCCATGGGCTCTCATGGACACGAATAGCTGCGGATCCGTAGCTCTATCTTGCGACTGACAACTGTTTTACCGTTTTCTTTATTACTTGGACGTCTTCTTTTCAAATGATGTATTGTAAGACGAATATGGGCCAGCCAGATACCGACGACCAAAAACGGCCCTCAGGGGGCTATGATTCCACAGCTAGGACACGAATTAACCGACACCGAGACTACACTTAAAATATAACTACCAAGTTCAAAGAAGAACGACGTAGGAATGCAGACAATCGGTTGGTTGTCCAACCACATAATTAAAGGGCGGCAGTCGTCGTGCCGCGTTCTGTTCGATATGGGACTCATAACGACGTATACAACGCGTGTAAAATACATTGTTTATTTACATGAAATTCGAACACGCGCTGCACGACGACCACCGCGCTTTAATAGAAAACGTCCAACTTGAATTCCAAGTATCTTTCAGAAACAGCTTGTCATAACACAAACACCAGTACTGACCTAATAAATCCGAGTTTAGCGTCGGTTTCTTCTGATCGGCGGTGCGTTTCATGTGTTAAGAACCCAAGCGTCCTTCCTCTAGTAGGAGCCGCGTCTGTGCTGTCGACTTGGGTGTTTTCAGCTAGAGTCGAATTTTCGCGGTCGTCTTGGGTGTTTTCAACTGGAATCGAATCTTCGCTGTAGTCTTGGGCGTTTTCAGTGGATGTCGGATCTATTTCAAGTTCATCCACTGCATGTAATACGTCTGTGAAAAGTGAATGGTGTTTTGAATAATAAGACAATCATTTTGTAATAACGCCTACATAAGTGGCATGCCCCCCCTCCATAGTGTGTGCGTGTGTGGCGGGTGGATGGTGGTGGATGTACGTGACCCGTCCAAATAATCGTCTTCCCCCAATTACATTTAACAATTTTCAAAATTAGCAGTTAATTCAGTCAAAATTGATAAAACTACATAAAATCAACCACAAGTTTCATTTAGACCCAAATTTCCGACATTTTTTAATGCAATATTTCCCAACTTCCAAATAACCCCACCAGAGCCACATTCTCATTTACCGATTCACTGAGGGACGACTTCAAGCTGTCTTTGCTCTGGATATTCCGCTTTTTTGGTTTAACAAATCGGCACTTATAAGGTTTAGGTGTCTAACAATACCTAGCTATATTCAATGCACGGCCACGGTTCCTCTATCTCTCCAACAGAAACAACTGTGACGCAACAGATCATTTTCTTATGCGTGTTCAATTTCTTGCAATAACACACAGAACATTTAAAAATAAAAAAATCCCTATTCATACCTTTAAGTGACGAAGTTAGCGGTACATCAAAAAGCTTCGATTCCATTTCGAAATAAAAGTACTATATTGCTCGTATCTCGTTTTCCAAGGCTCAACACTGTTGTCACTCTCGTGGTAATATCTGAGGTCCGAGCTATCGCAACCCATTATATACGTCAGTCTTTGTCGGTATTCGGGGTATTCTTTCCGTTTACTTTATTTGGGCATGCTATTTCGAAAACAAAAACAAATTCGGTGACGACACACAGCGAGGACAGACACAACTGAACGCCCACTCAGAGACGTCAACAATAAGCGGTACTTCCGGATTACCTGGAAGACCTGTCGATTTGATTCCGGTGAAACTGTTATGATTTATTGTGCTGTAAAACACAGAACCTATCCGATATGAACCAGTGCAATGTTGACTTGCGACAAAGAATGTTAATTAATTAATTAATTAATTAATTAATTACTATGCTAATTATTACAATTTTGCATTTCAAGTTGAGTAACACCTGTTCGACCGCCTTTCATTAATAGCACTAAAGGGCCACGTAGTCTCACGGATTTTCTGAGCTGTAACTATCACGCGACTTGCGTGGGCCAGACAATAGACACGTTGTGCTGTGAATGACAGTGCTATTTTAATAACGATAAAATCTTTGGGGAACGGGGTGACGAAATCACATGTTATCTACTTAATAATCAGACTACAAAGATATTGAACTTTTAAGAACTAGAGATTTGTGAACGTGAGTACTGTTTTTTTGTTGACACTTTTTGTTGAACATTAATTTCTTTGTCATAGACAATTCTGCTATTCTTTGTTGATTTCGTTTGTTATATTTTTTAATATTTTAATGGTGGGCTCCATAACAACTGCAAAATGGGGGAACACTGAACATGTATTACGAGCTTAAGGTGTCTGAATAAACAGTATTTACTTGAAATTGGGGTAACAATTGAGGCCAACGAACGGCATTACTCTGCACAATGAACACAGTACATTGAGACATCGATCACTTCAATTCTGACCTCAAGCATACACCGATTCTACCTCAGACTAGATTAACTACGCTGAAAACAGCGTCTATCTACATCGGATTTAAATCAGATTGGCCCAGTGCTAAGGGATCTTGGAATCATTCACTGACAAGAGTGCTCTTAAAATTTACGTTGGCCAAAAGTGAAAGGTATTTCACGTAGCACCAGACCCACCTTCACAGTTTATTGATGTCATTGGTAATAATGTCAGAGTGCATGTCGTATATTAACAACAGCAAGTTGACAAGATCAAAGCACGACAATTTGTTTGCCTGAAAAAAATATTGAATGCACCAAGATTTACCGTAATATTTCGCAATAAGGCAAAACAACTCCTAACGTAATACCTGTCTTTTTGGTCAACTTCGATTAATTGAGAACGTGCCTTTATTGGCTCAAGCAGTCTCGGGAAATTACACCGTGTAACCATCACGCTTGTACGAACACGTGTATGACAACAGTACACATACTTCAGAAATAGTTTTGTTTCTATACAATCTGTGTATTCAAAATACATGAAAAAATGCGTACAATGAACAATAATTTGTGAATGACGTCACTAGGCGTTGCGTCATGTTTTCTTCACATTACGAACTGATTAAACAAAACAAAAAATATATCCCATTAACTCGGAGTTCAGTCAACTGTTAATTTAAAAATTTGCTAAATTTGAACGTTAAACAAAACATCAAATCAATGTTGCCCATAACTCGAAGTTCGGTTGACTGTTAATTGAACATCGAGTTACAATTAGGGCGTTGTTTTTTGCAAAAGTTGGCGTGGTTTCTAAAATATGGGCGTAGTCATCTTTGTAACTCGATGATTTCGTAACTCTATGCTCGAAACCAGATGTCCGTAACAATTCAGCATATCTGTAATTTGCAAGTACACCCGTAACCTAAATACTCAAGAGGCGTCATAGTAGAGATAGCGTAGTAAGCAAAACGGCGAGATTGTACCAAGGCTAGTGCAAGAAAGTACGTGTTCAGCGTTTACCACACGCATATCGGATTATATACGATATGACAGGGCTGTTTGACTAACTCTATATCCTAATGGCATGGTGCTATTTAACCCACTGTGCCGGCGTTACCTGGTCTGGAAAACACGGATCTTACACTTAACTTAACACAATAAATCAAAGCATTGACCATGCACTGACCATGGCCTCCTCTTTTGAGTCGATGCCTCATACCACTCACCTATTCGGTCAAAATGTTAGGTTGTCAGGTATAGAGCGGGTATAGACCAATTAGAGCGAGTCTTACCAGAGTCTGTAACACACGTTCTGATTGGTTGCTGTTACCACGAGTCGTATACGCGATTGGCATAGCTAAATATAATTAGTCAGATGTAGAAACGCGTAGAAGTGACCAACGCCTCTACCTATTACACTGAATTGCTACGATATTACGGATTGATTGCAGTTTAAGGTAGAAGCCTACTACTCATTTATTAATTTTCCAATAACTTGTACTTCCAGGTAATATAAGATTATTGACTTAAAAAAAGTTGGGAGTCACCAGCTTAATTTTCGAGAAAATGGTGGTTGTATTTTAGTGGATAATGGTCATTTTGGCAGTATTATAGTGATTTTACCATAAGTTCCCATGGCAGAAATATTATACCATATTTCAAATTGTAGGCTAGTGACATAGGTTGAAAAATGTTTTTGCTGTTCTCAATTATTTCAAGTCTGGTCAAAAAATGCAATTTTTCTTTTACCATTGTGCCCTATGGAATTGTTATAAAAGTAGCGATTTTTGAAAAATATTAGGACAGGTTTCTCAAAATACGTCACTGTAACACACAATAGAATGCTATTTTATGGTGCCATGGGACATTAGCTTCATGATTTTACACAATAAACCAATGAACATTGTCATGCAATTTATAACCAACTTTCTCAAAAAATATGAGTAGGTTTCTACCTTAAAGAAACTTACACTAAAAACTAAAGTTTCCTTCTCTCACTGTCATATTTCGTTATACACGAGTCCATGTTTATTCATAACATTCACACACATGGTCATTATTTTAGGAGTTGCAATTACCGACTTGCACCACGACGAAAATGTTCTAATTTCAACGACTCGGCAAGTAATAGTGTCACCTAATTACTGTTAATATTCATAAATGCAAAATGTCTATTGCATGCTCTGTTATCTGCGCATCCTCAATTCAATGCATATCAATTGACTTTGAAAGTATCATTCTAATACGCGTATTTGGAGGGGGGGATATCTCTAATCAATTATGTAAATCTCGTATGCTAGTTTCTTATTATGTGAAGTGCGTGTTTGAACTCAACTCTCGTCCGCATTGTTCTTTGATTGAGAAAGATTCCAAGATTTATATTGGCACATACAACGCCACAGTCGCCAGGCCACGTGTACAATAAGTGATACGTTTACAATATTTATGTGAATAAATGTGGCCATTACAATATTCATGTGAATAAATGTGGCCATTACAATATTCATGTGAATAAATGTGGTCATTACAAAATTCCTCTGTACTAAGTTTGATGTTTACAATATTCATGTGAACAAATTTGGCCATTACAATATTCATGTGAATAAATGTGGTCATTACAAAATTCCTCTGTACTAAGTTTGATGTTTACAATATTTATGTGAATAAA